AGTTTGATGTAAAATTTTCCGCTCTTTCGAAATCCGCAGTCAAAAATAGGGTGTCCCATTAGAAAAAACCATCGTGACCTTGAAGTAACCTTCAAAATTGACCTCAAGGTCAAAACCAATGGTACAATTGAATGACCCCCTCTGTCCTGGTCAACTTTTATCTAAACCATTTTTTTGTAGATACCGTAATTTGGAAAATATTCGGATCCATAGACTAAAATGACTCACCCTGTATATAAACAACGGTATATTGTTTATTGTATATTGTTAGTATAATACTTATCAACAAAACGTATTGTATTGATTGAATGCGTTGCCATTGATATATGCATTGGCCGCGTTCAGTAGAACAAGTGATCAGTAAGCGCTCAGTGAGCTCTTGCATCTGATTGGAGTATAGTTGGAGATCTAAAAGAATATGCCAAATCATATACAAGAGCTCCCTGAGCGCTTACTGATCACTTGTTCTACTGAACGCGGCCATTGTCGATATTAAAATTATCTAATAGAAAGTTACTATTTAGTACGCGTATCAAGTGCACGATGTAAACCAAGCCAATGAACACTATATCAACTCTATTCCTAAATTGAAGTCGTAAATAAAAAAAAAGATTCTTTATTCTTAAGCAATATTGCTCAATGACTATTTTTATCCATATAGCTGATATTTCATGTGTCATATAAGTTTGTCAGGATGTGTTCGGATTTTCCATCCGGGTGCGCTATAATACTAGAAATACAATAGCATGTGTCATATATTCTGTAGTACTTTCCCACTGAGGTGGAGAAACGGAACGCAGCCTCGGATTGGTTGCTAGATAGAGATTTTCTAGAGTGCATAGAGAAATTGTTAGGGATCTTGGAAACTCTCTATTGGACAGCCAATTGGTACAATATTGGTTGTATGACACATGAAATATTAGTCTATGGCGATATCGGCGACACCGCTCAGAACAGTAAGAACAGTAGTCAAAGAGAAAGATATTGTAAACATAAGGACGCTGTGTTTATATTTTCTACAATAAAAACTTCCAACACAATTTTTAACCTGGAGTCAAATATTGAAAAAGAAGAAAAAGACTTTCAGTACAGAATTATTTCTCAGTATGGCAGAGAAGACGAAAAGTATGAGTCACGTAAAACATATCCCTAAGGACGCCCAAGTCATCATGTCAATCATGAAGGATATGGGAATAACGGATTACGAGCCCAAAGTCATTAATCAGTTATTAGAGTTCACCTATCGTAAGTCTTATTATTTCTCCTTCTCTTTTTTTCTTCAATCTATTACCTGCTTTATGTAGAGCTTAAAATCTTGCAGGATATGTCACATGTATATTGGATGACAGTAGAGTATATGCCAATCATGCAAAGAAGAAGTTTATTGATCTGGATGATGTCAGACTGGCGGTGAAAATGCAGCTGGAACGAACGTTCACGAATCCACCACCGAGGGATGTGCTGCTGGAGGTTGCACGTGCCAAGAACAGTATCCCGCTACCTTTTATAAAGGCCAGTCATGGCCTTCGACTTCCACCTGATAGGTACTGCTTGAACTCAACGAATTATAGACTGAAGAATGCCACAAAGAAGATCATGCAGAAATCTGCGCATCCTCTGACAGGAAATAATCCATCTGGTGGACAAGGAAGAGTAAAAGTAGAAGGAAATAAGTCTAGTCTATCAATTGTTAAAAGGCCTGGTACTCTTGCTACTGTTGCCAGAACACAGAGCATTTCCATACCAAAGCCAGTATTGAAATTCTCCACAGGTAATTAACTGCTAGTTTAGTAATTTAACTGTTCACTCGTAATGTAATCTATCTGTTTTTCTCTTTGAATCCTCTAGTCCCTTTTCGCTTACTGCATTCCCATTCCTCCATACCATTTCGTGTATCCTTCAGACCTTCATCAGGTAAGATTCTAGTGCAAAATAAAATTTAATCATGAAATATATTTCACAGTTGTGTTTGTGTAACAGATTGAAATTTAATATAAATTATTCAGCTAAGAAAGAAGTGCAATTGTACATAAGTTTAAGATCAAATTTAATTTCTTATAAAAAAAAAATATATATATATATATA